CAGTTCAAACCCACCAGCTGTTCAGAGGGAGAAGGACGAGGCTCTCTGCTCCTGTAAAGAGTGACAGCCTCAGACACTCGCGGAGGCCATGCTCCTCTGTGCCAGCGGGTCGCTGTGAGTTGGAATTGTCTTGAGTACAGTGAGGCTGCGGCGAGGCGCTGTGGCTGAGAGCAGCGGGGGAGGCCCGGGCCCTGGCCTGCAGCAGAGGCAGAGGACAGTGCCGTGCAGTGGTTAGAAACAGATCCTGACAAGTCACTTACTGGCTTGTGTAGCTTTGGGTCGGCCACTCAAACTCAGTGGGTCTTTAATCACCCCCTTTGCCCGGTGGGAGGAGACAGGGACAAGACGTGCTCCTCTCCAAGTTGTTGCGACTTGTCTGTCTGCATCCGTGTTTCCCAGAGTGGGTGACGCCGCTCCCTGGGGGCGCTGGAACAATCCAGGGGGAGGGGGGTGCAAAAGCAGATGCCCATCACGACCCAAAGCACAATGGGGCGAATCCCTGATGTCCTACGTCATCCCCGCCATCGCTCCCACGCTTGAGCCCATTGCTGCAGCCACCGTGTCCATCCAGCTCCTGCAGGGCCCGCCTCTTGTTCACGGTCCTGCTCCTTCAGCCAACATGATGTCCTTCTCCAGGGACAGGTCTCTCCTGACAACACGCCCAAAGGATGTAAGCTGGAGTCTCACCGTCCTTGCTCCATAGAGCCCTCTGGCCATACTTCTTCCTAGGTGAGTGAAGGCCAAACGAACCAGGAACGTTTGATGCGCACCGAGGGTTTAGGACGGTACCCGGGCCACCGCAGGGGTTGGGGAAGTGTTGGGCCGTCTTATTCGTGCCAATCATAGCGGCTTAGCAGATTGAGACCAGCACCAGGGAACCAGGAGGTCCTGGGACAGGCTGAGGAAAGGCCCCTGTGGCTCTGCGCAGCCACAGTCCCCAGGCAGTAGCGAGTGGGCTTCAAAGCTGCCCTTGGAATGAGAGCCTCAGATGGGAAGCAAGTGGCATGCCAGGGCACTGACTGCGTGGGCCTGGTGACACCTGGCTGGCTTGAGCCACCAAGAGCAGCAACTGAGCTGTGAGGAGGCAGAAGCAGAAGGCTGATTCGGGTTTTGCTTCCCCACCCCCAGACCTGAGCGATGACAGGTGCCACTGTTGACAATCTCCAGCCACCCCAGCCTGTCTGGCCGCCAAATGCATCATTCAATGGATGGCATAAGGATGCTTTCACTTCCCTTCTTAAGTCACCCATCCCTCTCCTCTGGGGCCTTCCTGCCCCATGCTCCCCGCCTCACCCCTGATCTTGACCGAGGTTTGTGTACTCAGCCCAGTGACCCCCTCCCCCGAGCTGTGTATCCCGGGACAGCACTGCCATTCAGGGAGAATTCATGGCGCCCGTGTTTGAGGTTTGGGGGAGAGTTTTGTCCCAGTGGTTGGCGGGGACACGACGGGTGGGTGGCGGATGAGGGCTGAGACCTTTGGACTCCAAGTCCGGCTCTGCCTCTTCCTGGCTGTGTCACTCCGCTGACCTTGGCGCCCGCATCTCCGGCCAGCACAGTAATTAGACCCACCTCCTGCGCTGGCTGTGAGCGTACGGTGGATTCATGTCTATGGGGCCCGAGGACAATGCCTGGCACGTGTACACCTTAGTTATCATTTTGCTAGGGCTGGCCGTGTCACAAACCATTGCCCTGTGTCCTGCATGTCTTTAAAATGTCCCAGCAGGCCTCTTTAGAGTTGGGGGGCTGGGGGAGTGACTTTTTAATGATTTGAGTCTAAAACGTAACTCCTTTATATATATAAATATAAATATAAATCTCCGAGGTCTGGGGGAGTGACTTTTTAATGATTTGAGTCTAAAACGTAACTCGTTTATATATATATATATATCTCCGAGGTTTTGATTTGAGTCTAAAACGTAACTCCTTTATATATATATATAAATCTCCGAGGTTTTTGAACCTCCCAAGAGTTGTTGTCTCACACTCCCAAGACCAAAGCCACTGTCAATGAGTCCACTGAGACTTACAGCTATCCAGCAGGGCAGAACTGGCCCATGGGGCTTTGAAGATTGTCCGTCTTTACAAGAGCAGAATGCCTCCTCTTTCTCCTATGGAGCAGCTGGTGGGTTCAAACTGCTACCTCTGTGAGTCACAACCCACTACCCCATGCCGTAGGCCACCAGGACTCCTATAGCAGAGATCACTTCCTCACCGCCTCTGATTCTCTGACCTGCCTCAGCCTCTAGGCCCTCGGCATCTTCAACCGACTCCCAGCAAAGCCTCACGGTTCCACCGCCTGCCAAGACCAAGGAACCACGTGGCCCCAAACCTCAAGTCTGGACCCTGCTTCCCTCTCTAGAGTCAGATAAAAGGTGACATTCTGTAGGGCGGGGGTGTGGTGAGGGCTACACTCTGGATTCCTGAGGGACCAGACGACCTACCCTGGAAGGACAGAGGCATCCACTAGCCTTGGGACAAACAGTGGCCAACGGGACCCGTGATTCCCGCTCCCTTCCTTTTCCCTATGTGGACAGCTCAGATTCCCTCCGACAGCCTGGCCCAAGACTTCCTGTGTGGCATGAAGACCGTGGGCGGCCGGAACGCCTTGCCTCGCATCGCTTCCCATCCTCTGCCGCCCTGGGATGTCCCTCTTGGAAGAAGCACCATGGCTCTCACCCCATTGGACAGGGAACCTAGGCTAAAAGGTCCCCAAACGTTGCCAGGAACGGTTTGCCATTTCAGAAAACTACAATCAACATCCACATTACTTATGACACATAAGTCACTTATGACACCACATATATATTTTTAATTAAAAAATCATTTTATTAGGGCTCTTACAGCTCTTATATCAATCCATCCATCAATTATATCGAGCATATTTGTACATATGTTGCCATCATTCTTTTCTAAACTTTTACATTCTATTTGAGCCTTTGGTATCAGCTCTTCCTTTTTCCCTCCCTCCCGACCTCCCAGCCTCATGACCCCTTGATAAATTATAAATATTATTATTTTCCTATCTTACAATGACTGGTCTCCCGTCCCCGAGGGTTTTTGTTGTTTGTACTCCTGGGATAGGGGTGTGTGTGGTTATGTTCGATCATTGCAATCAGTTCCCCCTTCCTCCCCTCATTTCTCCACCTTTCCCCTACCCCCATGATATCGCTACTCCCATTCCTGTTCCTGGATTCCATGTGTCGTGAGTTCTTATCTCTTATCTGCATCTGTGCACACGATCCGCCCCTAGCCCACAGTGAGAGGCAGGACTGGGGTCATGATAGTGGGGGGTGAGGAAGCCCCAAGGAACCATAGGAAGGAAAATTGTGCGTTTCATCGGTGCTACACTACACCCTGGCCAACATATTTCTATCAGTCCACACTGTTGCTATGGCACACACGGCGATTGTCTTAGAGCACGGGTGTACCTTGTCCCTTTATTTACTTATTAAGATATTCCACTCTTCTTCTCTTGCTTCCTTAGATTACATGTAGAGCATTCTATTCATTTGAATTATGTATGTAGGCAGGTTATATCATTTATAAACTTATGATCGAAAGAGTACAGAGGAGTCCAGAAATAAGCCCATACATCTATGGTCAACTCATTTTGAGCAAGGGTGCAAAGTCCATTTGATGGGGAAATAAGAGTCTCTTCAATTAATGCCAGCAGGAAAATTGGATTTCCACAGACAGAAAAATTAAAGGGCATGCATGCCTTACACTATGCACATAAACAAATTTAAAATAGATTATTGAACTAAATGTGTGATCTAAAACCATAAAACTATTAGAAGGAAATGGAGGGGGGCCCTCTCAAGCCTAGCTTACAACAGTGGATCTCTAACAATACCACAAGCACCAAGAGAAAACACATAAATGGGACTTCTAAAAGTCATATCTATTCACCAAAAGACTGCCAAAAAAATTGAAAGACAAGCTACTTACTGAGAGAATATCTTTGGAAGGCATATCCTTTGGAAGCCAATAACGTGTGTATGTGTGTGTGATGTGTGTATGTATGTGTGTATATCCCTGTGTAGTCTGGGTAGACTAGAGAAACAAATTCTTGGACACACATGTGTATAAGAAAGGTTTATATGCAAGAGCAGTTGAATATTGAGAAAACATCCCAGCCCAGTCCAGATCAAGTCCATAAGTCCAATATGAGCCCATATGTCCGATAGAATCTATAAATTCCTCTTCAGACTCATGAACACATGCAATGACGCCGAATGCAGGACGATCACAGGCCAGTGGGTGCAAAGTCAGTGGCAGTAGAAGCATCTCAGCCCTGACAGGGGTCTCCATGTGGCTCCTCCAGTTCCCAGGGCTGCAGCAGGGTAGGTCCATGTGGCTTCTCCTCAGGGATGTCTTGCAGGAAGTGAGCAGAGCGAGAATCTCTCCTGCCTCCAAGGAAGAAATCCAGGAGTTCCCAGAATTCTCAGGAGAAGGCATGCCCACAGAGAGGCCTCATCTGGTTGTGTCTTGATTGACAGGCTAAACTCCACCCTCTCAGTCATAATCCTCTCAAATTGACACTAGATTATATAACTACCACAGTCTCTCTGTGTGTGTGTGTGTATGTGTGTGTGTGTACATATCTTTGACAATTTGCCAACAAAAAGGAGAATAGCCCAATCACAGAGCAGGTAAAGGATGAAGAGCCGTTTTACCTAAGATCACCACATATATAGAAATATACCCAACATCACTGACCATTAGAAAGATGAATATCAAAACCACAATGAGATATCATTTAACTCCCACTAGGATGGTCAAGGTTAAATATATATACATATATATATATTAAAATATATAAGTATATACGGTATTATAATGAACATATACAAAGCAAAAAGAACACAACACGATATTGGCAAGGATGTCGAGAAAATTATATTCCTTACCCATAGTGATAGAAATGGAAAATGGTACAGATATTGTGGAAAACAGTATGACAGTCCCTTTGAAAAAAGGCACAAAAGCTAAAAATAAATGCATGGGTTTGGATTTATGTATGGGAGGCTTGTCTCTAGGGGCCTCTCATAGTGTCTCATGCCAGAGCAAACTGTAGTCCTGAGCCATTGCCTGGCCTTGTCCGTGGGCTTCGGGCACTGAAGCGGGTTACACAGTGGGGAAAAAATAAATAAAAATAAATAAAACTTGCCTGTGACCTCCATCCCATGCCTCGGTGGACACTCCTAAGACTTGACGGCAGAGGCCGAAGCAGAGACTTGTGCAGCAGTGTTCACTGCAGTGCTGTTCACGATGATCGGAAGTGAGACTGCCCGTCGATAATGATGGATGGAGAAACGAGCCCCTGACGCTGTTGTCCTGAGACCATCTTTAACCACGTGACTCCTACATCCAATGGAATCCTCCTCGGCCACTAGAAGAAATGGACTCTCGTTACACGCGACAATGTGGATGGGGCTGACAGACTCTAGACATTAGGCTTAGTGAAATAAGTCAATCGCAAGAGAACAACTATTGTGTGATCTCATTTATATAAAAAGACAAGATAATGTACAGAGACCAAAATTTCTTAGTGGTTGCCAGGGGCAGACGGAAGGGGGCTGGGAGGAGGGGGATACGAAGTGGTGATGTAGACACTTTTTGTAATTGGCATCAATAAGCTGTACAGCTATAAAAAGTTGGATTGGCAAAAAGTGATGTGATAAACTTACAAAAGGACCAAAAACAGAGCTGCTGAAGCTCATGATAATATAAGCAAACTCTCGTCACATTCACTTTCTTGGTTTGGAGCTTTAGAGCCCTGGATTCATGAGACATCCCAGTTGATTGGCCTCAGAACCTGTGTCGTGCCTTTGCTTTTCCATCTGCCTCAGGCCTTACAAAGTCTCCAGCAGCCATTCCGACACAGCAATTGGTCTCCATTCGCCTGGGGCAACAGAGGAGAAAGGATGGGACCTATGCTAGTTACCTCCCTGAGACCAGAAGAACTCGATGGTGCCTCTAAAGTATTACTGAGCATTTTTATCAAAGATTCTTCAGACGAGTCCTGCGTGAAAGAGGGAAATGCAGAATAGAATTTCTAATGATCATGGACTCCAGACTTCTCGGAACCACAAAGGTAGATGAGCCCCTGACACTACTGCTTTGAGACCATTTTAAAACCACAACCCAAAATATCACTGAAAGTCTTCTTAAAACTAGCAATTATTTAGCTTAACTGTATATCATCGCACACCCCACACTTCACCTGCTCTTTGGTCATTAGTGTTCAGTATGTGAAATCTAGTCTCTAGATTCGGAAGGTATATACTCAAGGCCCTACTTTAGCGCTCATGAATTTATCATTTTCTTCAGTTCCCCACAGACTCTCTGATTTTGCCCTAATGACATTGAGCTTCTCTATTTTCTCTCTTCACAGACATCATTAATTTGATTCCTATTAATTCCACATATATAGTTGCTGTTTATGTTTTTGAGAAAAGGTATTTACAAGAGTAGTTTGTTCATCTTGAAGAATTCCATCGTGGGGTCTCCAGCATACTCTCTAATACCAAATCAGAGTTGCCAGTTATTGATATGTTATTGATATGCAGCAAAGTGAATTACATGATGTGCCCCTTCTAGCTAAATAGTCTTTTGGACTTCCACCAAATGACAGGGTAGGATTATGCAAATTTGGGATGTTTGTGGCCCACCAAAGGGACTGGGTTGTAAATAAGGTACATTGTACTTTTGGGGTGGGGTTCTAGGACACTATATAAGACTCTAATTTAGGGATTATTCGGTCTTGCTCTCTCAGAACTGTATCTCCTGATGCTTAACTGCACCCTGTTAATGTTCCTAAATACTACCAAAGGGTTGCAGCCTTCAATATGGATATACAACTCAATTTAAAGAAAGCAAAAATCCTCATAACTGAACCAATAGGTAACATCATGATAAAGGGAAGAAAGATGAACATTGTCAAGGATTTCATCTTGCTTGGGCCACAATCAGTGCTCACAGAAGCAGCAATCAAGAGATCAAGCGGAGCATTGCATTGGCTCAGTCTTTTGCATAAGACCTCTGTGAAGAGTTGAAAAGCACTGATGCTATTTGAGGAATAAGGAGCTCCTGACTCAGGTCATGGCGTTTCCAGTAGCCTCCTGTGCATGTGAAGGTAGACACTGAATAAGGAGAACAAGAGACACATGATGCATGGAACCATGGCGTGGACGAAGGGTTCTCTAAGGGCCGTGGCCTGCCCGAAGAACAAGCAGATGTCTCTTAGGAAACTCACAGCCACAGTGCTCCTTCGAAGAAGGATGGTAAGCATTTGTCTCACATACTTTGGACATGAATCAAGAGAGACCAGTCCCTAGAGAAGGAGGTCACGCTTGGTCAAGTGGAGGGACGGCAGGCGAACAAGAAGAGGCTCCTCCACAAGATGGACTTGCAGAGTGGCTGCAACAATGGGCTGCCAGCAGAACAAGTGTGAGCATGGTGACGGCCGGCAAGCAGTGCTGTTCCCTCGTCAGAACTGACTGGACAGCCACCACCACAACTCTCCTCATGATGGCCCTGACGGTGGGTTCTGTCTTTCAGTCTGTATGCTGGTTCCGATAAAGTATCAGACTCAGCAGAGAAGTCGTGAGTGCCTTGGGAGGGACAGTTGGTGTCAGACAGGGTTAAATGGTTGGAAGGTGGAGGCATGTTTGACCTCTGTCTCAGAAGAATCGGCCTCAGACTGATGCTGATGGCGATTTCCCTCCCGCCTCTTGTGAAGGTGGTCTGACATCCCCCCCACCCCCCCGCCCCCACAGAGTGGCTTCTCAGGGGGTGAACACTGCTGGGAGGACCCGCCACACAAGTGGGGCTTGGAAGAAGCGTAGCTATTGCTTACACATTTCTAGACTGGTCCTTATTCAAAGGACATATTCAAGACCTAATATGTTCGAAGTGCGGCCCCTAGAAAGGCTGCTTTGTGAAAATGACCAGGGTCGTGACAGTGGGGCTCCTTAGGCCACCATCAGTAGGAGTGATGGTCTCCACTCCAGGACCTCTCAGGCTCAATGGCTTCCAAACCCCCTGTGCACACTCAGAGGATTGCATCAGCACCCGTGCACACATCAGCTCTGCATTCTCACGACCTAACAACAAAGGCCTGCATCGAAGTCCCACAGTGACCCTGAGAGGCCTGGCCAGGGTCAGGGCAGTGTTTGGGGTTGTCTACCTGGGATGGGGGCAAGGTGTCCACATAGGTGCTTGCTGGCCCCTTGGGAGAAGTGGCGGTGACTGGCCTGCTGGGGAGATTGCTCACCCCCTGCGGTGCCATCTGCTGGACACACGCAGGTGTGCAGGGAAGACCTGCTGAGGGTGCAGGGGGTGCTATAGGCACCCTTGCCGCATGGAGGCCTGGGATTAGAAAGCTCTGACAGTTTGGGTGCTAATGCCCCTGAATCAGTGATGGGGGGCTGTAGATTTCCAGGCCCTCCAGAGCCACTGGACTGGCCTGGCCAGAGCACGGCCAGGAGCCGGGTCTCTACAAGGCTCCAGGCGTGTTGTAGTCCCCTTGAGACCACCTCTTGGTGACAGCCCTGCTGCCAAAGGTCACGGGTGAATCAATGTCATCGACTTTCAGAGCTGCATGAAACACAGGACCCAGCTCAGATCGCCAGTCTGGGCGCCGATGCAGGACAGGCATGCTGCAGCTGCACCCATTCCCCCAGTACCCTGCACTCACTCTGCGCTCAGACCCCAGCCCACAAAACTCCCATCCTACCACAGCAAAGCCTTCCACGTGAGTCATTTGATTTGCTGGCACTTTGGCATGACGATCACCCCGTGATTCCAAGGGCCTTGAGGGGGGCACTCATTTATCCTCAGGTTTAGGGAACGAGCAGATGCAGAGATGCCAAAGGACTTGCCAAGGTTCCTACAGCTGGTATGGGGCGAGCGCATGCCTGGGGCGGTGCCCTCTGCCCAGGGTCAGCAGCGGGTCAGAAACCCCATTCTCATCAGGGCAATGTGCTCTGTCTGGGGACTCCTGATAACTGGTAGTGTGCGTGGGCACTCTGGGATGCCACCATCGATGTGGGGTGGGGGAGTGCTAGTGGATGCTGGCACATGGTGGAGAGGGACAGGAACGACAGGGCCCACAGGGAACACTCTGGGACAGACAGACATGGCCTTGCTGCCCCGTGGCCTGGTCTCCTCACCGGAAGGGGTGCTCTGGCTCACTCAGGAGCAGCACACAGCACATCTGGCCAGGATCGGGATCAACTGGAGGGGACCTGGGGAAGGGATGGTGAGCCCCGCTGCTGGACCGCCAGAAGGGGCACCCCATAGCTGCTCCAAGAGCCTGCCCTCCACCACCTTCCAGCATCAACAGGCCAGTCTGCCATGGAGCTGTCCTTCCGCCTGAGCCAGCTCACCCTCAACGTGCAGGGAGGGAATGGCGGGGCGCGCAGTGCAGCTGTGCCAAGCTGACACACTGCAACATCACCTGACCCGGGCTTTTGTTTGCTTGCCGAGTTCAAGTTCCCTGTCTGGTATATCACCTATGGGTGTGCGGAGTGGGTTGGGGGGGACTGCTGTTCTCAACTGGGTTCCCTTGGCGGCCTCTTTACATTCTGACGGGAAAATGAGCACCACGCCTGGAACTCTGGGGAGGGAAGATGGCAGCATGTGGGAGCATGGGCGTGCTTGTATTCTTGGTGGGGGGTGAGAGAGAGAGAGACAGACTGGGTTTCTGGGCCAATGGGTCCGGCATGTGTGCCTTGCTAACAAACATACCTTTCAGTGCCAGGGCAGGGAAGAGGAGAGGAAGTAGAAGAGAAGGGAGAGACGGGAGAAAGGAGAGGAGAGGGGAAGGGAGGGAGGGGAGGGGAGGCGAGAGAGGGGAGAGGTCAGTAACATCACGAAGCTGCACATTCTGGGCAGTGAGGCCAGTGTGCTTTCCTCACCCACCAGATGCAGGTTTCAATCAATTCAATCAATGGGCCATGTTTGCTGGCCATAAAAATAGCCCAGAGGTTGCTGGTCAGGGGCTGCAAGATGGATGAGCAGTGGCCCCAGAGGTCTCAAAGGTCAAAGATGACGATCACCTTACAATGTAATCTGTGGCCAGCCCCAGCTCTTGGTCTGCCAGGCAGGGTGAAGGCTGCTGCCCATTTCCAG